GGTTTATTCAGTACTAATAAATATCCATAGAAAATAGATCCATAAAAAAATTAAATTAAATTTACAATTTCGCCCAATTGTATATTTTTCGGTGCATATTAAACTGTTAGCTTAGTTAACATCGGACTCTACTCCTCAAATGCCATGCTGTGGAAAGGAAGTGAGAATTATCAAAATGTTTATTTGATGGCAGATTTGCAGGACATGTCCAAGATGATCCTGCGCACCAACGGTCCAGCTGAACTTCCTGAAGGCTATAAACTGACCATGCACATCTCACAGACCACTTCAGAGAACGTGAGAGTCTTTAGACCTCGGACAAATGTACAGAAAGACAATGTGTGGAGTGAGTGAATAATATAATATTTTATATAATATACCAAAAATGTTTTCAGTATACTTTTTTTTTTTTTTTACTTTTTGGAGCTTGTGTAGTGTTTACTATGAACTTTAAAATTTTGTAACCTGTCTTAGTTAGTTATTTCATTTAAATTTAGATATATGTAGACACACACACACACACACACAAGCAAAAACTGATGCATTATAAAGGAACATCAGTACTTTACTGAATGGGTCCTCTTTCTTTCTTACCAGAGCATAAACTCCTGAAGTTGTTCCTGAAAGATTATATCATGGTGGTGGGAACGGACATGCTGACACAGGAAGTGCCCTATCTAGGAGGCAAAACTGAACTGGAATTCTTTGTAGAGGGTCTTCATTTCCCTGATAAAGACTTTGATGGGCTCATCACCATCAACCTCAGTCTACTAGAGCCCTGTGGCAAGGTTAGTCTGATCTGATCTCTCATGCAACCTGGAGGACATACAACATTCTGTTCTTTTACTTACTGCAAGAACTACTCCAGTCTTGTAATAAAAGTTACATTACAACACTCTTCTATAAAATGACTAAAATGTATACAATTTAATAAAATAATTTTTGGGGGGGTAATATCATTCTCTTATAACCTCTAAATACTAATTACATTTGTTGTTGTTATTTTCTTAAAGGATTTCCCTGAAACTCCAGTCTTTACAGATAAAGTGGTATTTCATGTTTCTCCCTGGATCATGACCCCAAACACGCTCAAACCTGTGGAGGTGTATGTGTGCAGGTGATTCAGTCCAAGCTTCCGTTTAACTCTTCATATATCATATAACAAATAATGTCATTTCCAGAAACACATACAGATATTTCCAAGTATTTTTGCTACTCACTCTTTCAGTCATGGGGAATACTGACTGTTTTGTCTTTCTTGCAGCACAAATGATAACTACTCGTTCCTGAAGAGCATAAAGAACCTGGTGGAAAAGTGTGGCTCCAAACTGAAAATATGTCATGAGTACATGAACCGAGGTGACCGCTGGATGCAGGTCAGTGAAATCTGCATAGGATGATGTATTGTAAACTAGACAAGCATGTCAGGTGACTGTCATATGAGATGAGTAATTCCTACTGACTCTATCCACAGGATGAGCTTGAGTTTGGCTACATTGACTCTCCCCATCATCAGTTCCCTGTTGTACTGGACTCTCCTCGTGATGGAGATCTTCAGGATTTCCCCTACGAGTCCATTCTGGTGAGTGAGACGGATAAATGCTCAAAGAAAAATTCACCCAAAATGCTCATGTTATTCCAAACCAACATTGGCATCAAATTCTGAGCATGTACTAATCTAAAGATTGTGTCACAGGGGCCAGACTTTGGGTACGTGACACGGCATGCTTTGAATGAGGAAGTGAGCAGTCTGGACTCCTTTGGTAACCTGGAAGTTAGTCCACCAGTCACAGTGAACGGGAAAAGTTACCCACTTGGCAGAATCATCATTGGAGTGGCGTTCCCTACGTAAGCACCACAACTCTACCCTCCTAACAGTAACCACTACTAAAACATTGACGTCGTTATTTACTCGACTTCATATTGTTCCAAACAAGATATATGTTGATTCGAATAAACAAACTATTACCTGAAAGAATAATTCATCAAGAATATTTGCATTTAATTTGAAGTGCAACACGTGGCCGCAACATGACCCAAGTTGTCCAGGACTTCCTGTGGGCACAGAAGGTTCAAGAGCCAATAGCGCTGTACTCTGATTGGCTGGTTGTGGGTCATGTGGATGAGTTCATGACCTTTGTTCCAGCCCCTGACCGAAAGGTAAACCGATACGCTCCGAATACTACAATACACTACCAGTCAAAAGATTGTAATAATTAAGACTTTATGCTCACCAAGGCTGCATTTAAATCAAAAATACATTAAAAACTGTACATTTTTAAATGCCAGTACTTTATTCTGAACATAGCCAGTTTTTGGTTAAATACCCAAAACAATGCTAACTGTAATGGTTGGATTGTTCAGAAATTCAGGTTGCTGCTGGCTAGCCCTGACGCCGGATACAAAGTTTTCAAAAGCTTGCAAAACAACGGACATGGAAAAGCAGAAATGTTTCCGGGTAAACACTCATCAATTTTCTGTTTCAAAAAAGTTTACGGTCCACCACAGCTAACAGTTTTGCCTGAACAGGTTTGCCAGAGGCCATCTCTGTAAATGAGATCCTGAGCGACAAAAAGCTACAGGCTGAAAACAGATACGTGCAGGTCAGGGAAATACACAACATTCACAAATACCGCTTTAACACATGGCATTAAGATGCGCTTTGTGTCCAAACAGTACCTAGATAGATTTGTAGCCAGATTTGACAGATTATGGGAGAGAATAATACTGGCATCTTCGAATCTTTCACTCAGAACTGTATTGACTGGAACAGGGACGTGCTGAAGAAAGAGCTGGGGTTGGATGATGAGGACATCATTGATTTGCCCATCCTGTTTAAAGTGTTAGAAGAGAAAACGCACCCCAGGGCTGTGGCTTACTATCCCGACATGGTACAGCACATTACATTTTAAAACAAATGTTTTGTATTTCAATACATTTTAAAATGTAATTTATTGCTATGATGCAAAGCTGAATTTTCAGCATCATTTCTCCAGTCTTCAGTGTCACATGATCCTTCAGAAATCATTCTAATATGCTGATTTGCTGCTCAAGAAACATTAATTGCCATTATCAATCTTGAAACCAGTGCATAGCTTAATATAAAGTATCATTAACCTATCCTACCAAATACCCATTCATATTCTACAATCAGGAATATTAAGCTACTTGAGGAATCTGCTATTATAGTTTTCCCATTACATTGACCTTTGTTTTGATGCATTACCTGTATTTACCCTCAGGTGAACATGATCGTGTTGGGGGATCAGCTGGGCATCCCAAAACCGTTTGGGCCGAAGGTGAAAGGCAGGTGTGCTCTGGAGATAGAGGTGTGTTCTCTTCTGGAGCCTCTGGGCCTCAAATGTACCTTCATTGATGACTTGGCCCCGTACCACAAACTGCTGGGTGAAGTTCACTGCGGTTCCAACGTTCTTCGAGAGCCGTCCCCTTTCAAATGGTGGAACCTAGAGCTGTGAGAGAGACTAGACCTGTCAAGTGCCTATTAAGTCTAGAAATAAGCAATTCATAGAGCAAAATACTAATTGGATAATTCATCTAAAAATGGAAACTCTCTCATGATTTACTCACCCCCATGTTGTTCAAGCAGCTCTTTTCCATATAATGATAAAGTGCTGTCAAGCTCCCAAAAACGAATGCGAAATCCCCAAAAATCATTCATATCACTATGCAATGTGTTCTGAATTCATATAACCGCTTTCCATGAGGGATAGACAGAAATGTAAGTGCCTATTCTTTGATGAAACCCTTTTGTTGCACCCGCACATTGAGCTTTGAGAGCTGCTGATTTTCAGTAAATGCAACTTGAAGAAGAGAGCAAATCATGCACTTATGAAACAACATGAGTGTGAGGAGACAACAGTTTTTAGTACTTTGTAAAATTCTTATAACTTTCCTCTGATAACCAGGCCTTGTTTTAGCAGTATAGTTCCTCCTCAGGCTGCAGTGGTGCTGCTTCAGGATTTCTAAAAAAAAATGAAGGGCTTACAATTATACATGATGCTTTGAAAAGTGGTTTAAAATAATGTTAACCATTTAGAGACCTGTTGTTTATCTTTTCTAACAACAAAAGTAAAAAAAGTTCACAAAGTCTGTACTGGGTTTTTATAACTATGAATGTTCATTCTGTGTTGCCTTACTAATAATGACTGAGAATTTGATTTGAGAACTGAGAATTGGTGATTTACTGTCTTGGGTGTACATTTTTTCCATAATGTAATTACAGCAATAAACATTTCATGACCCCTCTGATCTTTATTAAACACAATTTCTTTAGTTTTATTACAAAAAAAGAATAAAATGTCTTATTTACAGTGAAACATTTCATAAAGTAGCATAATAAGCACTTGTAAAGGAGAACAATCACTTGCAGAAAGCAGTCGGTGTTTGTTTGGAATGAGTTTGTGCTTAATGGCTCTAACGTGTGCAAACGCATTATGTACAGTTCGACCAATCAGCAGAGACTTGGGGCTCTGACACAGCGAACGTATGGATTCAGCGAACCAAAAATATTTTTCCCTTTTCCATGAACTGTTTTAAAAGGATCACCCCTGAAAGCACCCAAACAGCATTATTTATAAGCATAAATCTCCCAGAATATTTTACTGTACCTCTTCAAACAAGAAGCAAATTGGGATATTAGTCTTACAAAAAAAGTACCAAGGTATTTTCATGTTTCTGGACATGAAACTGGTAATGCCATGTTTCTTCTATAATGGTAATACCATGGTATTCTTTGAAATATGCATCATAAACAGTAAATACCACAGTATTTTAAGGAGCTGTAAAGTGACAAATGTTTTTGCAAACAACATGAATTGCAAATGTTTCATTTTATGAGAGTAGATTAGCTCAAGTCATTAGCTGAAAAAAGCCTGTATCCCATATATCAATGAGATGAATGGTAATGCTAACGGATAGCATTAACACCATAGTACTATATTTAAAAACTAAATTTATTATATGATCTAAAATGTGCAGTTTTGTTCGCAAAAAACATTACATGAATAAAATGTGCATTTGTGTTTGAAAACAAAATAAAATGCCCAACATTTGCTATTGAACAAAGCATCTGATCAATATATTCCGACCTAGTGTATTCCATAATCCATATCCACTATCATATATGTGTCTGCAGTTTTACATTCATATTGCTCACATGTCATATAAGCTAAAATGTCTTCAGGACTTCAATATATCTGACTTGAGAGACACTGATGTTTTAATCTGCACAGCTAGCTTTAAAACATGAGGCTACTACATTAGTGTACAGTTTACACATGTCAGTTTTACCACAAACAGCTGTGGCCTTACAAAAATTTGTTGATCGGTAAAACAGCATAATCTTAATAAATAATATTTGAAAAGTATACAGCATATCACACCTGATCTATTCATCATAAATTATAATGCCTACGCTTCATTTATTGGACGGGATTCGGAAATGGCTTGGGTGCTCGACACCAGAAGATAGAGAACTACACTGAAATACAACATTTAACATTTACCTATATTCATTTTCAACATCATTACATCATGACACAAAAGGCAACAAAACAGAACCACACATAGATGTGTATTACTTTGTGGGTTCACGTGATGGGTTTAAGTTTAACCTCATTTGTTTTTCTTAAAGATGCCGAAAGCTTGTGACAGCTTCCCACCCCCGTCACTAAAAGATCTACTCACCACAGTGAGCCTCAATAAATAAATAAATATGACAAATAAAACCCAAACCCACACAATGAGAGCTACAGTTGGAAAAAAAAAAAAGAAAGAAAGAAGGAAAGCAGCCTATGATAAGGCCATAATCATGCGTGATTCATTGCCAGCTGGCAGCTCTTTTCTGTTCTTCTAGACGTGTACCAGCCTTTAGCACAAGCCAGGCAGGTTTGCTATTGTGTCTACAGACCAACAGCCACATGATAGAAGATAAACGGGTTGAGTCCTTACAAGAGCACGCTGATATTCTGATGCACACTTGCCCGACTGTACGCCGCGGGGCTGGAACTAGCAGTTCAATCCCCTTCACATCCGTGTCTCTACAGGAACTCTTGTGAGCACGTCTAGTGTCCGCTGCAGAGGGCTGCTTATGAAAATGCTGAAAATAACACATAATTAATGATTGATGACGAGAATAAGATTTATACATAAATGCATATACTGTATATACAGTTCAAAAGTTTGGGGTTGGTAAGACTGTTTAGTTTTTTGAAAAGTCTCATCCTCTCACCAAGGCTGCATTTCTTTTTAACAGAAATACAGTAAAAGCAGTGAACATTGAAATGTTATTACAATTTAAAAGAACTGTTATCTATTTTAATATATTTTAAAATGTAATTTATTTCTGTGATGAAATTCAAAGCTGAATTTTCAGCATCATTACTCTAGTCTTCAGTCTCACACAATCATTCAGAATCAGTCTGATATGCTGATGTGCTGCTCAAGAAGCATTTCTTATTATTATCAATGTTGAAAAAAGCTGTGTTGCTTAATATTTTTGTGAAAACCTTGATACTTTTTTAGGATTCTTTACTGTCACTTTTGATCGATGTAATAGATCCTTGCTGAATAGAAGTATCAGTTTCATTCTTAAAGTACCACTATTATGGGTAATGAAAGGTTCATATTTTGGTTTTGTGAATCCCCAACAACAAGTTGACATGTATGCAAGGTCAAAAAACACTTCCATTGTCTTATAATATGCATTTATTTTTACCTTACTTGCTCAACGACTCCCAAACGATTCGCTCAACGATTCATTTTTCCAAACCCCTCCTTTGCGTGACGCTAATCTGCGGTGATTGGTCCGATTGGTCTCATTTTCATTTCATCATGCCTGTAATGCCTGATAAAGCAGCGTTTGTGAGCGCAGTGCTGCTTTGTTTACAGCGAAACAGCTATTTTACCACTCCAAAAGCGGCACCTAGTGGCAAAGAATTTGTATTTTTTTATTCAGGCCAGCCATAGACTGTATAAAAACATGGACGTAGTGTCCGTGACGTCACCCGTAGATTTCCGAAGAGCGTTTTTGAAGCTCAAAAGTGGGCGGAGGCGGCCGTCGCCATCTTGGCAGCGCGTCACCACGCGACACTCCCGGATAATCGAAAATGGGCAAAGAGGTGCCCCTTTGGGCAGGTTGCTGAAGCCATGCCTACCTAGCTCGATGGTGGTGACAGCAGCGGCAATCCACCTGTCACTCAGGTGGCCACGCCCTTAATTATGCAGAACTTTAAGGCTTAATATAATTTAAACGGATGAGTTATAAAAAAATTCACCCCCCTCACAGTTGTCATGAAGGGCAAAATTAGCTATATAGACCAAAATCATTTTTTGAACCAGGCTGTAAACATGTTTTTTTCTGCTGTAAAGTTGGGCATTTTAACATTTTAACAATTTTGCAGCCAGCCTCTAGCGGCCAGTCGATGAATTACAGTTTAAGTCACTTCCTTGTTGGCTTCACTAGAGAGAGGGGGAGGTTGCCGCTTGAGGCCAACCCGAAAAGACCAATAAGTGGGCGGGCAATATGCTAATGTTTCATGTCTACGTCAACATGAAACGGCTTGGGATTCGTTTTAAAAACGACTCGTTTCAATGATTCAGAGTCGACTCTTTCTTTTGAGAGACAATAACTTTATACACGGTGCACTTTCAGATTTAAAGCTTTGCAGATTGTTTTTATTCACTTAGAGCTGTGTTACACACTGCATGAATGGTAATTTTCAAAAATCCATAATAGGGGCACTTTAAATATCTTACTGACCCCAAACTTTTGATTTGTAATGTCATTTTCTGAATGTCATGCTACACTACAAATATGAGTACAACTGCCTTAACATAAAAATCATAAAGGGATAAAATTAGGTCTTTAAGAGGTATAACAATGCAAATATAATCAAACGAGACAGCCATATAAGCCCAATAAACATATCAAAACAGATATAATCCACATTTTTGCTGTTCCTAACCTGTTGATGGACATCCATGAAGTCATCTACAGCCTACAGGACAGCTAGCAGTTCTGTGCAGGACAAACACACACAGAACAAAACAAATACAAAGAAAAACTACATTAGATATGATGTTCAAGAGCAATTATACAGCTACAGAGAGAAACAGTCATGCTATGACTTTAAAGGGTTGGTATCGAACATGTTATCAGTTTAGGTTTTTACTGAAATTCACTTATAACATTAGTCAAGGTTCATAATCATCTTCCACCCTCTTTACGGGACATTTTTATTCTGCTTTGCCTGTAGGACTATAAAAACGGCATTTTTGTGACTAGCATGTTCTTATGGCAAGCACATTTCTTACCGAGTGTTGTCTTTCTGTTTTTGGATGAGGTTCAGATTGCTGTCGCAAGGGACCTATAGTGAAACGAGATTTTAAAAAATGACAACAACTGAAACAAATTCAAATGAAAACTGAAAATATAAAAATAAAAGCTAATTCAAAATATTCATAAATACTAAAGGAGTATATCAATAATACTAAAATAACACTGGCTCTATTGTGGGCCTTGTCTTAATTTCATCATGTATATTCCCTTAGTATTTATGAGACAATATTTGCTCTAATAGTTGCTTTAATAGTTAATTATGGGTGCAACAGGTTAAAAACAGATCTCCAATGTTTTCCTATTTAATTTATCTCACTTCTGAGTGAAATCTCTTAAAGTAAAATGAGCACACAAGTTAATATCACAGTAGGAAGGTTGTTGGTCTGTCAGTGGTGTATTTTGTTTGTGATTCATCATATCTCATATGATCTTTTTTGCTACTGTTACCCATCAGGAAACATATCATGTACATTATTCATTTGGCAGATGTCTTTATCTCTGGGAAACAAACACATGACCTTGGCATTGTCAGCTCTACTGTTTGAGCTACAGGGATGCTAATGCTAATGATGAAGCTATAGGGTTGTAAAATAAGATAATTTACTCACCCCCATGTCATCCAAGATGTTCAAGTCTTTCTTTCTTCAGTCGCAAAGAAATTAAGGTTTTTGAGGAAAACATTCCAGGATTTTTCTCCATATAATGGACTTCAATGGTGGCCAATGGGCTGAATTACAATGCAGCTTCAAAGGGCTCTACACAATACCAGCCGAGGAATAGGGGTCTTATCTAGCGAAACAATCAGTCATTTTCTAAAACCTTTTCAACGTGACTACGTAATGCGTGAAGTCGAGCTAGTGCAAGACAAGCATTTGTGGTTAAAAAGTACATACATTTGTTTTGTTTTTTTTTAAGAAAATGACCGATCGTTTCAATTTGGAACTTCAGCCTGTTGGCCACCATTGAAGTCCATTATATGGAGAAAGATCCTGGAATGTTGTCCTCAAAAACCTTAATCTCTTCGCGACTGAAGAGTGAGTAAATTATCAGGAAATGTTTATTCTGGAAGTGAACTAATCTTTTAAGATGGGTAAACTGCATAATATTCGTGATGAAATAAATTAGAGTGCAACATATTTCTGGCCTCCTCAATGGAGCATTTTACATGCACAAAAATCTAACAGTCAAACAAATTATCATTATGTAATCCTTTGAATATAATAAATATTTGCTTGGGTTGTTGGGAGGTGAAATGTTTGTTCTGTCTCACCGTGTGAGCTGCTCTGACTATCAGTACCAGAGCCGTCTTCCAACCACACGCCGCTGTATGTAAACGAATCTCGTTTGTGAGGCGTACCGGCTGAAGACAGGCTCTCCTGTGTTCCAGAAAAATGAAAAACATATGCAAACAACAGAACCAGTCAGTCTTGCCAGGTGTATTGATACTTATGTTCAGACAATTAAATGCAAATTCCATTACGCCTGTATGCATTTGCCTGCGAATAGTATGGGCATTTAGAAACAGGTGGTTTTCTCTGCCTGTCAGTTTGTATGAATACATTAGAATTTTATCCAGTGACAACAATTTGATCACAATGTAGTGATCTTTTAAGTAAAGTATGAGTCATGCATTGATCAGTGATGAGTCAGGTGTATGTGACCACACCAGTCCGGTGTCGTAGTCCTCTGCCGCTTCATGTTCCTGCTCGTTCTCTTCCACCACGCTCGTGAAGCTACTGGCATTGGACGAGGAGCTCGACAGATCCTGAGACTCCGGGATAGAGGGAGCTCGACAGCACAGGGCCGAACTACAAACACACACACACACACATATGCACATATATGAGATCAAATCAACCTGAAAGACTAGAATAGTTCACCCAAAAATTTAAATTTGCTGAAAATGTCTCCAAATTAGTTTTTTTTTGTAACTCGTCAACGTCTTAAAAGGGCTTAGGGTAAGTAAATGTGTCATTTTGGGGTGAACCACTCCTTTAACTAATCACCATTAAATGCGTATGGTCAAAGATTAGATGCATGTTCTTTTTGATTTAATATTGTTGGTTGAGGTATATTTGATTCACTTTTGAATTCACACGCATTTCATTTACTGTATCACACATTAGCTGCACATTAAAAGCAAAAGCTGCTCACTTTTTTACCTTTGCACCTGGAAACTACCCACATTAGATTGACTGATTTATTTGCACTAGCTGCTCTGTCCATGTGATTAAAAGCTGTTGTTTGGGCTGTATTTTGCTATTTCATAATGATAATGGAGTACGTTATGATAGCACTAGCCATATTCATGTTCAGTGATTGCAGGTGTAATTTCTCAAGTTCAAAGTAGTTGTTTTACTAATGGCTCATTGACAAACTAGTAACATTTGAACTCAAATATGGCAAAGCAAATATCTATTATTCGCTGCTAGGAGTGGCTTTATGTAGAGGGTAATAAAAGTTCTGAACCTAACAAGGAGCGGCCCGTGAGCAACTAACTATTGCGCCCTTTGAACAAGCCACCTAACCTCAGGTTAGGCTATTTACTTACTACACATGAACATGTTATTCAACTTTGAGCATATTACATATACAAATAATAGACAAAAATAAAGAGTATAAAACCCAGTGTATTATAGTACTAGTACTAGTGCAACAGTATTAATTTGCAAAGGAAATATGCTTTTGATGCACATGCACTACTGTTACAAAGTATGGGGTCTTTTTTGGAAATAAACGAATACCTGTATTCAGGAAAAATTAACTTTTGATCATCAAATTGATCAAAAGTGACAGAGATTTTACAAGGTTACAACAAAAATCTATTTCAAATGATGTTCTTTTGAATATTTCATTCATCAAAAAGTTTTGAAAAAAAAATATTTCAGTTTTTTTTTTTTTAAGAAAAATATTAAGCAGCACAAATGTTTTCAACATTGATAAGAAGTGCTTCTTGAGCGGCAAATCAGCATATTAGAATGATTTCTGAAGGATCATGTGACTGAAGACTGGAGTAATGATGATGAAAATTCAGCTTTGCATCACAGGAATAAATTATATTTTTAAATATATTAACTTACAAAAACATTTATTTTAAATGGTAATAATATTTCAAAATTTTTTTTTACTGTATTTATGATCAAATAAATGCAAACTTGGTGAGCATAAGAGACTTCTTTCAAAAACATCAAAATAGCAAAACTAATATTAAAAAGTAAATAAAAACAATTACTTCACATGATCATAGACACCTTTCCTGGAATGTAAAGATCAGATTATATGAAAAACTGAACATCCATATGCAGTTTAAAGGAGGACCTTGCATTAGAGTTTGATTACAGGCAAATAATGTCAGTGTTTTCATTGGTGCTCACCCAATCTTAGTGATTTGCATCTCAGGGGAGCTCTGACTGGATGAGTTGTCTAATCTGAGGTCCTGAGTGGTGTGTACACCATCAGATGTCCTCTGTGGACTAGGGGACACCTCTCGACTGCTGGAACATAATGATTAATTCATCTTAACTATTGTTTTCAGAACTGCATTTTTCATATTTGACATTTAATTAACCTGAAATAAACAGATACTTATTTTTCAGATACTTACTAAACTTAATACACACTAATTAGATTCTAATCTTTGTTATATTTCTTTATATGGTTTTCCTGTCACAAGACAACAAAATGTTTTCTTACTTTTAATGAAATGTAATAGATTATGCTAAACAAGAATTTATGCCTTTTGTTCTTTGTTATTAAGACAGAATTGCCACTTTGACATTTTTCAAAAACGCACAAAAATCAATGTCTGTATGAATTGCGCTTTCATGTATTTTTGAATAAACTAACAACCCATGTTTGTTCAAAACCTTGTAATAAAATGGCTTCAAATACTAACAGAAAAAGCTGTCCTACATTGTCTGTTTTTCTTACCTTCTCTCCTGAACCTCTTGTATGTTCTCAATCCCAATGGCGCTGCTCCTCCTGGAACTGAATGGACCAGATTTCTTACGGGTTGGGCTTTTTCCAGGAATAATCAAGGACTATGGAGAAATCACATTTGGGTCATATTTTGATAGTACGTTCAGATGGCTAATAGGCTGTTATGTCAGCCTGTCATGAGAGGCTCTCTCAGTTATTGCTGTTGCACTTGTTGTCATAGCAATGGAGATGGGACGGTCACTTGTGGAGAGCCCCATCTGTTCCACCGACCACCATGCAAATAGATCATAAGAGCTGATTACAAATCAGTTTTTTGTTCTTTTGTAATGGTGAAATGATGAAGATCAGAAATGGCAGGTGAAGACCTGGTGTACCATCAGTACAAGCCTCACAGCTGTGCCATGATGACACAAGCACTCAAAGGTCAAACCCACTCGCAGGGCACGACGGATGCCAGCTGAGACTCCGCCAGTCTGAGGGATCAGAGGGCATGCAGACTTGCACAAACTAAAAGCTGCCGCATTGTTTTGGGGCTTCTCGTGACAGACTGCATTAATTTTTTTAGCAAGTTGTTGTGTCTTTTTAACAATTTAAGGTCAGTTGACCTCCACAAGGGCATTCATACTCACAGTGCCGGGTGTTTTGGGGGTGTCTGAGGGGTTGTGTGTAAAGCTTCCACTGTGGCTTGTGGAGACGGTGTGTGGTTTTTTGTTGCTGAGGCCCATGGCATCCATAGACTGACTTCTATTTCGGATTACTCGCTGGAAAGAGAAAAACAATGCACTGCATCACTGCAACGCAACACTAGAGGACACTACAACTGCTTATATGAGAACCAGGAGGGCTAGGGAGAGTGAAGGACAGTAAAAGTGGTTATGATTGGACTAGTATGCTAAAAGATTTCAAAATACTTCAATATGCAAAGAACACCAGGTCACTTTCTTTATTTGCCAAAATGTGCAAAATGTAAGCATGTGTATCCCATAATGTAATGTACTTCTACTTATAGTGCACTTTTTTCTATTACTAGATTTAATTGATTAATTGACATGGACACAATGTTTTAACACAAAATTATATCAAAACTGTAGCATACTGCTGTTTAAAACATGTAATTGTTCTATAATGCATACTGTTTAAATACACTATAGTTCAAAAGGCTGGTGTCAGTAAAACTAGGGTTTTTTTGCATGAAATTAATACTTTTATTTAGCAATAATTAATTAAATTGATCAAAGTGACAGTTATGACATTTATATTTCAAATTAAAGCTGTTTTTGTTTGTTTGTTTGTCTTTCTATTTATCAAAGATTAAGAATTCTTAGAAAATGATCATGGTTTCCACAAAAATATTAAGCAGCACAACTATCTTCAATAAGAAATGTTTCTTGAGCACCAAATCAGCATATTAAAAATGATTTCTGAAGGATCATGTGACACTGAAAACTGGAGTAATGATGCTGAAAATTCAGTTTTTCATCACATGAATAAACTACATTTTTTGAAAAATATATTTAAATAGAAAACAATATTAATGCATAATGCATGTGATCAAATAAATGCAGCCTTAGTGATCACATGAGACTTCTTTCAAAAACATTTAAAAAAGTGTATTTAAAACATATACAGTATACTGCATAAATCATACTTTAATATCACACTCTTTTTAGCATACTACAATTTGGGATGCAATAATTATAATCTCATATATAGGATGGACAGTATGCAAATTGAAAAAGTCATCTCTACCATTCACCAGAACTATTTTGTCATATACTGTATAAGCATCATTTTGTCAGTAATTATTTAAACAAATACAAACCTATATTACTAGTTAAAGAGATTCAAATGGATTCTACCTTGAAAGACTCAAAGAAGCCGCCGCCGCCTCCTCCTCCATTCTCCAGTTTGTCATCGTCTCCTCCCAGTCCTATCATGGACTGGCTGTTCAAATGCAGCTCCTCATATAAAGTCTCCAGCAGAGCAGAACGTGTCCTCTCCTGGAGAACAAAGACATTTTAATGTAGTATGCATGCAGATGCTCCCACACAAATACAAACACAAACACATGCGTGTATGCCCTGTATGCCCTTCTCACCTCCAGCTTGGCAAACTTCTCCGCTTTATAGCAGGAATATTCAGCATTGATGAGTTTGGTCAAGAGGAACTCATGAAACTCTGCACTCTAAACAAAACACGATGAACAAAGACTAAATTAGATACAGATAGCCATTCACAAATGCACAGCGAGTGATACACAAATGCGTACAGCAATCTACAAATGCACAAGACGCGATTCACAAATGAATGGCAGGCAAAGTTGTGTTTGTGACATAAAAATATATATGAATATGTTTTTTGTTTGCAAATATCATTTTATTTATTTGGGAATTTAATTCACGTTTGTGAAACTCTAAGATTTATTTGTGGATCTCATTCTATTTATCTGTCAATATGTTTAATTTTTGTCAATCTCTTTACATTTATTTGTTTACATTCATTTATCTATTTATTCGGAATTATGCAACAATTCTATCACCATAGTTGAAGGATGTGTAGAATTTTGTAAAAACAGCTGTTCCAATTCTGAGTTCCGGGGCAAAAGATTCCATGTGGAACTAGTTGAATTTCATAAATGCAGGCTGAAAAGATGTACCTTTTTAAAGACAGCAGGGTCTGGGAGGGCAGGTCCAAAGAAAGGCACATCATCTCTTGCCGTCACAGATACCTATAATATCACAAAAGAAATTATTACAGATATCAGGAAAGCTTCCAAAAAAAAGTCTCAAGCACATTGTTTAACAAGTTGTTTTGCTATATTGGAAATCATCAATGTGTAGAAAAAAAAAAAACTACTTCAGAACTGAATCAAAACAAACAATCAAGTATGTGAAGCATTGCTATAATAAATACATTATTCACATTAATCCATGGCTCAAGCTTCATTTTGAAAGATTCAGACAAGATTAATTACCTTATAAAGGACGTTATCAGTGCAGGCGTTCTCCACTTGCACCACTATGTAAGCGTGAAGGAAATTTGATGCAATCATATCGGGTACAAATGGTGTATTTTCTTCTTGGAACACAATAGCCACAATGTCATTTCCTACATGCCTCTTCCTCTGCAGCTGCAATTAAATCATACCAAGACAACAAAACTGTGAAGTAATAAGAGGAAGCTGTCCGTAAGGTCTGTACAACTGATTTAAGATTCACTTCTTCGAACAGACCGGCCAGAACAGAAACCTGAACTGAAAACTAAAATAGATCATGCCATTGAAAAATGTATATTTGTGGTCTCGAACAGAATCAACACTGTTATATCAGTTTGTGAGGTATATTACTTTCATGCCAATAAAGAACACTCCTTATTGTTTCATATAGTTTTTCTTTTAATTTTGTCTCTGACTGGTAATATACCGAAAACAGGTTTGTTCTAAGTGTGACCAAATAAAAAAAAATAATAATAATTTAAATCTGGAAAAAAAAAGTATGACGATTTTGTATGGGCCTACTCATAAATAAATACACATTTTGTTCATGCCTAGACATTTGTTTATGTAGTTATGAGTAGGTCCACACAAAATCTTCATACTTTTAATATTTATGATTATTGATTGTGGATGATAATGTACAGAAATGCCAGACACCAGATTACAATTCTTATTAAATTAAACATTAAAACAAAGAAAATCAATCAAATTCTGCATAAAAATTAAGTATATTTTTATGATTTTATATGTTGTATTATGAACATATTTCTTATTGTTGCACTATAGTTTTTCCTTTTGAGGTGAAATGTCCTTTGTTTTTTTATGATCTTGATATGTTTTGTGAGATTCACACTTATGACAAAGATTATTTATTACATTTCCCACAAAATAACAATATTGGATCATAATATTATACATATTACAAACTGATTTGTGTTTTATTGCACCAATGATGCCAAAGCCCTAAATTTCAGAGCAATAGTTACATTTATACTTGATTTAACATGGCAACAAAACATTAATAGCATTCTGCAGGGTGTCAGTTTTATCTTCTATAAATCTTCAAAGGTTTATCCGATTAGCTTTCCTCAGCTGAACCGTTCGTTCGCTTGTCTTCACAGCTTGCTCATAAATACTTATTAGAGAGTGCTGTCATAACAGAAAACAGTTCACAGACATTCACAAGTTCAAAAGAAAACTGCTTGTCTTTATCATCAAAGTGCTCAGGAAATTAATAAGACATATCGAAGCATGTTTGCAGCCCTGTGGCAAACATCAGAGTCAAAACGATGTTTTTAGATAGAAACAAACCATTTTAAGGCAAAAACACATTTGTCGTGCCAGTCTGGAGGCCATTAGCATATCGCTATACTGTAACTCTCATATGACATCACATATCTCGTACAATAGTGATTAAAAAGCAGCAGGTGATGAGTCTGTACCCATATGTTATCTCTGGCCTCTGAGGTACCATACTGAAGAGGGTGTGTTTTAGTGGCCAGCTTTGTAAGAGGGCAGTCTGTGCTGAAACCCCTAGGTGATGTTCTCTCTCTGAGCAATGCAAAGCGTGCATGACAACAGATGGCTTTCCAGGATCAGTCCTTTGCACTGTGTGGTTTGCTTGCTAATTAACAGAGCATGCTTTTGGTCAGTGCATAACACAGTGGCCAAGCAACTCTGGGGGGCTGCAACTGGTAATATACCCCAAACTAACACTACATGTGACATAAAACAATATCCCAGAATATTACTGGTTTGTCCTAAGCGTGCCCATGTATTTACCCACCCTCTACAGGTAACCAAAGTTTGATTTAGCTAAGAATAGGAATCTAAAATCTGGGGAATCTGAATCATGCAGAAGCAATAAAATGTTTTTCATATTTTCTCAACTGATTGTGAATCAAAACAACAACAAAAACACACACACGACACACACACACAAAATAAAGCTGAATGAAGCAGAATAAAACAAAACAAATAAATAAAAAAGCAGAATGAGGCAGAACAAAAGAAAACAAGATACAAAACAAAAATTTAAATGAAAACAAAACATGAGGTCTTACCTGCTGGGTATCACCTTCAATGTATGGCAGCTTAGTGGACACGTGGAACATTATCTCTTTATTGTGGAAGTTGTGATAGACTGACTCGCTTCCTGTCTGACCATGTGTCACATCCAGGCCACCACGAAAGCTGTATTATGAAAGAAGTTCAAAAAGCGCTGAGTTACTCTACAAACTCAAACATACCAGCTGTACAAACAACCTTCTGTTGGTCCTGGGACAACATTCCAATAAACAATCACATTACTCATTAAACCCTGACCTACACCTGAAATCAAAGGCAAATTACAATATCATAAGATGACTTTAAGATAGCCTCAACAACAGCTCTCCACCTAACCCTAAAATGTGAATGGTAGATAGAAATGTTGTTCCAGGACCAGGAAAAATGTCCTACTTGGGTACTGTTCATGCTAAATACTGTAGGTCTATACCCTTTAAAATCATGAAGTTCAATCTTCTCTCCCAAGAACTCCAGAAACTCAACAAAAGCTGGACTTTCCTCATTGTTTCCGAATAGCTCCTCTTCTGATGTCTGAAAAAAGAGAACATTTTCAGTTCATAATTAATATAAATTAAGCAAACCAAGAATGAAAAACTCATAAAGGTGAGCTAACCTGTGCAAATTTCTGGTAGATGACTCCAAACTTGAAGTTGTTGTTGATGACATGCTCATCAAAGGTCACAATAAGTCTAGATGCCTTTAAATGGGTTACAAATGAGGGTCAGTGAAAGAAATTTACATGACTTGTTCATTCGTTTTTTATGTTTCTGTTCCAGCTTACCTTTGGGTATAAGACAGGATAAAATCTGTCCACATTCACCTCTTCACAGACAAGCTTAAAAAAAGACAAAAGATCTATGATTAATCTCACTTACACATTTCTAATCAAATAATTTTATATGATTACTAAGGCTGTCAATTTACTATATTAATTTAGTACAAATTAATTACAAAAAATAACATTTTCCTCATGGGGATAAAATAAATTAACTTTAAAGTCACCTTTTGTAAGATCTCATTTGCATTGGAGTTTTCTCAGCAAACATTGATATATGCAAATAATTTAAAATAAATTAATTGAATGTATAATATGTATAATTGCAAAAAAATAAATATAATTTTAACTGAATTCATCCACATGTCATGCAATTGATTGGATTATTATAATTTTTTTTAATCCACTGACAGCAATGCAAAATTCTTTGCTCAACTATTTATGTTAATGTCCTACCTTCGCCATCTGGACAACATTAGGGAACTCGGTCAGACAAGAAATTGGTATCACATCATGGTAGGTTTTAAACTTTGACCTACAGTTAAAAGACAGATAGTACCACTATAACCAAACTAGACTCCACTGTACTTCACAAACACATTCTCAGCTAAATCGTCTGAGACAAATTGCTTATGTTACTCTATTGTAAGTCGCTTTGCATAAAAGTGTCTGCTAAATGCATTAAAGTAATGTAAATGTTATATTTAGCAGAAAAGACAATGACACACAGAGAGAGAGAGAGAGAGAGAGAGAGAGAGAGAGAGAGAGAGGGAGAGAGAGAGAGAGA